CCCCTTGCACCTGCTTTAGGATATCTGCCTAAATTCAAGCCTAACTACATAGTTTTTAAACCCAGGCCTCCTCCCATGTGCCAGATTGTTCTTAGCACAGGAATACCATCCTCTGCACCTTTGCTGCTTATTTGGAAACTATGCTTCAAGTTTTCCCCAAATCACAGGAGATGGAGCGAGTAAGAAGTTCAGCCTGCTTAGTCTCTGGGTCTCCTTGGACATGCACATATTTCAGGACAACTATTAGAGGCAAAAATTCTCCTTGGCCTCAGAGGGCTCCTCAGCCTGCAGTCCTGGCGCAGCTCAGCAGCTCTGAACCACAGCGATTGTCCAGGCACTCCTGACTGTTCTGGAAGCCCACAGAAAAGAGTTCACAGACACTCCTGAGTAAACAGTGTTTTACACTGGTAATCTTGGTAGATTTCCAAGATGGCACATGGTCTCTCTTCTATATATTTACATATCTTCATGAAAACAGATGCTCTATTAGCTATTTTTACCTGTAATGTTCCCATAATTGGTTTTATTTTCTCTTTGACCTTTTCCTGAGGATTTACCCTCTTCAGGATTAAGTTCTATTAATGCCTTGAGTTCTGTGGTTTGAATGCCTTATATTCCCCATTTCCTTCTCCTTCTCAGAAGGCTTCTACTACAACACCGCATTGAAATTTCCATTGCTTTATTCTTGTTGTGCTTATACGCTGTTGCCTAGGAACAGTATTACCCAGGTGTGCTAGTAGTTAGGCAACAAGTTAAACTGAAAATATTGTGTGACTTGATACAAGGAATCAGGGATAGCATATGCTTATTTTAAGAGACTGCCTCTGTACTGATTTATAATGCATCACTAGCATATGGAAAATTGTGTCACTGGGGACTTACTATAGCAGCAGCAGATTTTTTTTTTTTTGCTTTGATTTACAGTATACCCTTTAAGAGATCCTGTTGTTATAATAATATTCAGTACAATCTGACACAAATATCTAAGTACTTCAAAGATCTACATACTGTAATGAAGAATAGTTTGTCAAGAAAATATTTCTGAAAGACAAAATAATACAAAAAACCCCGTGAGGGCATTTGTTGCCAGTAGTACAGCGATTTCACAGTAGCAGTAACCAATTACATGACATACAAATGAGTTACACCTTCCTTAGTAACTAATCTAAAATGAAAGACTTAAGAGAAACCTTGGCCTGGATACATTTCCGTTTCTAGCTGGTCAGGAATCCCTAGAATTTGAATGTTTGATCCATGTATTTAAAACATCCAAGAATATGTTTAGCCAGGAATGAAAATTCAGAAGTCAGAATTCTTCATCCAGCTCAGTGCTGGAGGCCTCAGTAAGAAAGCGCAGTAATGTCAACTTGGTTCTCCTGCACTCTACAAGCTGCCTGCTACCCGTTCCACCCCAAGTCCGTGCTGGGGATTTACCAGTGATCCTGATGAAAAGACACTCCTCTTTGCGACCTTGAAGAGTTGCACTAGAGACAACAGAGCGACCTGCACCTCAGTTGAAGCACATTCAGGAGGTGGCACTCTTGGTGGCAAGTCCCTGGCTGTGGGTTTCCCTTGAAGCAGAAAGATACCAAGTGACCACAGTTTTATCAACTTCAGATTTGAAGACTACTTCTTTTGAAAGTCGTTCTCACTATAAAAGCTCTCCGCTCATAAAAAAACCAAAAGAGAATGAAGCAATTACGTCATCCCTTTTATCACATTAAACATATTCTCCTTTCCTTGCTTAAGGAGCACAGATGTATTAATAGTGCCACACAGAAAGAAGAGGCAGCATACTGTAGGTAGATTGCTTGATATAATTTTCATGCTTGTAGAAACTGTTGTGGTGTAATTAAAAAAAAATGATGCTAAATGGTCTAGGAAGACGAATACGGGCCAGTGTGCAGCTAACAGTTTTAACTTAAATGTGACTCTGCTGAATAGTCTGGGATCCAGGGTTTGATGTAGGTGATGATTCTGAAAACAATTAAAGCACAAGTAACAAAGTTTGGGCCAACTGGTCTTTCTGAAAACAGAAGTCCTGAAAACTGATGCTGTCAAGAGTAAAAACAGGCCTGATCTACAAGTAGCAGATGACGGAAAGGGCAGAAAGCAAAAAGCAATTCACTCTGCTGCAGAGTTCAGGCCATTCTCTGTTTGAAGATGGTTGTGGATAATTCAATGCATCAATTCAAGGCATCAATCCATGCTCATTAATTTCCTGTTGTCTTTTCTAAGTGTGTGGAGCGAGACTGCAGGTGCCAATACAACCTCCCTTAAAAAGGCTTTTACATCAGTAAGGCCCTACATGCATGTTATGTTGAGTCTTACCCAGGACTAAAATTTGTTTGATATCTTTGATATTCAAGGAAGCAAAAGAAGCTCTCCTGACCTTTTTCTTATTGATAGCAGGTTTACTCAAAATGCTATTCTCTCTTAATTAGATTGTGGTATGTGATTGTGACTTGTGTCTTACTCATCAACGGAAGGGAAATCCTAGACTCATTAAAGTTAAAGGGAAATTTGCCATTGACCATGTGCAGTGTGAATTTTCAAGGCACTTCCTAGAGCTGCTCAAATTTTGTTCTGGTCTGGACTCTCACTGACACTTATTTATGATACACACATACCCATCTTAAGGAACTTTTGGCAAAGCTCCTGGATGAGGTCTCTATTCTTTCCCACCCTTTCAGGGCCTTAACCTAAGAGGCGGCCAAGCAGCAGTCATTCTGTTTCTCTTGGGATCAAACTACATTACTTGGGGTGGGATGTGGTGAGCATATTTACACATTTGTTAAGTGTATCTGAAGTTAAGTATATGTGAAAACTGTTAAGGCAGAGAACAGTGAGATTTATATGTCTGATATCCTGGCAACATGGTGATGGATGCTGTTTTGGTTTCTGTTTTGGGAGGAGTGAGAGAAATTTGCCTTCCCTTCAGTTAAGTGTATAACTTTAGGTTTCAGAATTATGTATTCTATTTATTCTTCAGCTGAAACCATATTCAATGTGCATTTGACAGCTAAGATATGTCTTTGCTGTAAAAAATGTACATGCGATTGTTTGTTTGTTTATTTAATAGTATGGCTGTACCACAGTCTGAAAACAGCTTTTTGTTGCTTGCTTGGAGATTTTTTCTGAAGCTGAGATGACTACACTGAGACACTGGTCATACTGGCTTCAAGGGGAGAATTGCCTGTGAGTGAAACAGTTTGCAAAGTCTGTAGACTTCTTATTTGTTGGTATTCTCAACTCCTTGTTGATCCTATTTATTGTGCTAAATTGATAATGTATGAACCCCAAGCTTCAAGGCTCCTGCCAAACCTGGTTTATTTTTTCTTAACATCTTGAGGTATAATTTGGCTCTGGAGTTTTCCCTTTCTATCTTCAAAGGATCAAAAATTGGCCCAAACTAGAGAGAGAATGTAGGGAAGAATGCATTGATACTCTTAGTCTTTCATTAGTGTATTTTACTTGTCTGTAAAAAGCCAAAGCACTTGCCAAATGTGGGGTAAGAAAGACATTTCTTAGTATATTAGATTGGCAAGGATAATTTTTTCCCCTTCCTTTATAGCGTAGGCTATCACCCACTCCTTAACATAGGCATCTTCACTGAAGAGATTCCTTGTTATTGCAACGACCTAAAATAGGGGTGGTGCCATAAACCTCTCTCATTATTGTCCTGTGAAACATTGTAGGATTTTATGGCACTTGGTTTCTGTGGGAAAGGTTTTAAGTTAGCTACAGGGTATTGAGCAGGGGTTTTTTTGTGGCTTGTAATGTATGGGAATGGTTAGGCTGTTGTTAGGTGTTTTGCTCCAAAGTTTTTCACATACTGAGAGGGAAATGGATTGACTGATCCTCTCTGTCCTGTACTGTAACTGGGAAAATGTTTCCTACAAGAAATCAGATTAATTTTTTTTTTGTGTTCCCATTTGATTTTTGTGATAACATTATCACTTTTATGTTTGTGGCGGGGATGAGTTAAGATGGTCAGGACTTACCTTGTCTTTTATTATGCTTATAAAAACATTCTGATTTATCATTCTAGTTTTCTTAAGTAAGCAGCAAAATACACTTCCCCAGAAAGGCTTAAACTGTTCTAAAATGCTTTTATACAACACCTTGATGGGATGCTTTATCTGGTAGAATTTGGGATTTGTACAGAATCATAGATCACTCATGCTGGAAGGGGCTTTGGGCAGGTCTGTAGCCCAGCCTTCTGCCCAAAGCAGGGTCAATACTTTAGTGTTGACACCAGGTTGCTTGGCACTTTCTCCAGTTGGTCTTGAAAATCTCCAACAACTGATTTCATTGTCACTCTGGACAGTCTGTTCCAATGCGAATTGTCCCACAATTACCTTTTTTCTTACATACAGTTGAAAACTCCACTGTTTCAGTGTATGACCATGGTCTCTTGTCCTCCCACCAGGCAACCCCATGAAAAGCCTGGCTCTATCTTCTCAGTAACCTCCTTGTAAGTACTGTAAGACTGCTGTTAGGTCCTCCCAGAGCTGTCTCTTCTTCAGGCTAAACAAGCCCTGTTCCCTGAGCCTCTCCTCAAAGGGCAAGTGCTCCAGCCTCCGACCATCTCAGTGGTTGTCTGCTCAACTCACTCAAATTTATGAACATCCTTCTTGTACTGGGGACCCAAAACTGGATGCAGTATTCCAGATGTAGTCTTACTAGTGTCAAGTAAAGGGGATCTACTGGCTACTGTCTGACTGCATGCCTTTTGATGTTCCTGGGGATAAGTAACTACACCTTGGTCCAAAAACCAAAAGTATGGACTAGAACCACGTTTTTCAGTCAAGTATGTAGTGTATGAAGTCTTAATCTTCTTATCCCATGAGTGTATGTTCTTTTGTTCCATTAGTATATTTGTCTTATAAATGATTTGTAGTCAGACTCCCAAAATAGCAATACACTTTACATTTTAAAAATTGTCACTAGCATCTGTTTAACTACATTAAAGTTGCCATGCGTTTTCTGTTCAGTTAATTAGAATGTGTATTGAAAAACCTATATCTAGAGTAAGCTACAAAGGATTAAGTAAAAGTAGATGTGTGTGATAAACTAATGTTGTCTTTGCTTAGTTTTCAAGTTGAATAACATGGAACTAAAATAATCTGGTCATGTCTAGTCACGTAGCCCTATATTATGGAATTTGCACTTTGTTTGCTTTTTTCCGCAAGCAAGAGCATTTCAAATCCTGAGAGACTGAAGCACCTTGCTTCTTAGTGTACTTTCTTCTGTTTCCTTTTTAACAACATGAAAAAATAACTAAGGAGGTTATTAAGGTTGCACAGTTAGTCACTTAAAAGCTGGTAGCAGCCCAAATTAGGTTTGAAAGTAAATGAAATGTACACATAGCAAATTGGGAGGAGATTTGAATGAAGTATAGAGAAATCTACTACACATAAAAGCCTCTTTAAAATGCTGTTCAGTACATCTGGAGAAAAAACACTAAAACCTGCAGAGTACCCTGGAGAAAATTAATGCCAAAAGAGGCACAAGGTGTCAGAGAACAAAAACCAAGCCATGATTTCAACTGAAGTTAGGTAACTAAACAGACTAAAGCAATTCAATGCATGGCTTTGAGCAGTGACAGTCTGATGTCATAGGCACTAATCACACACTTAAAGCTCTCACATGCTACGTGCTTTGCCAGGCTGAGCCTCCACAGTGAGACATTATGGGATAAGTAGGGAATGTTGTAACCACATGTTGCAGCCACATGGTTCGATCTTGGGTGTTGCTCTACAAGATGTTGATCAACAAGGGGGCTTCAAACAGAAGCAACAAAATAGCTAACACTGACATGGTTACTGTGGACTGATATAAGTGTGAAGAATAATAAAATTGGTCTGTAATATATTTCTATATTGTATGTAGCATGTATTCAGCGTATGTAGTATGTATAAGAATTATGTCTATGTGTGTATATATGTGATATATGAAAAAGTTCAAGGAAATGAAAAATACAGTGCTTGAAAAAATAAAATAATCTTATTAAGTGCAGGGGAACGACAACTGTACAAACACCAGGTGGGATCGTGTCTGGAACGAAGCCAAAAAGAATTTTGGCACTGGGTCTGGATATGGCCAGGATTTTCTTCAGTTCTTAAATACAACACGCCTTCTTGTCCTCCAGCTCAGTGTGGAGATGCTTATATGCTCTGGTTGTATATAATCTCATATTCATAACTGTCAGGTATCCCCCATTACTTCTGTAAAATCCATCCATATTTTCCCGCTTCATTTCAAGTAAGAGAATTTGAAAGATAGTCTTTTAGGGAAGTACCTAATACCAGACCTGAAAAGATGAAACATGGCTCTGTTTTAATGTGTACATATGCAGTGGGTTTTTTGGAGTTGACAAAAGTTACAATTACATAGCTGACGTTGAAGTTTGGTCTACCTCATGTATTATACAGTATCTGACTGAACTAGTGATGTATAATAAAACTTACTACAGGCCATAGGTTTTGGTAGTTGTTTGACCTACAAGTAACAATATGGTGAAAAGCATTTCCTACATATGGAAATCTTCAGATTCATCCTCCTCGAATGCATCTCACATTTAAAAGGTTAGCTTCATTGCTAATCTTTTCAAACCTTGATTGTTTGTGGTAATGAATGGGAGAATAACACTGAAGATCTGATCCTATGGGTAAGTAGTCTCCTGCAGCACAGTTACTAAAGTCACTGTGAATTGTATATTCTAGACATCTGTGTAATGGATCTATTATTTGCATGTGAAAAAGAATGGTCTGTGATCTAGAATGAGTAAAATTCTTGACAATTAAGCATAGCTGAGACAAAAATTAGGAATGCTTTGGAAAGCTATACAGCAAAGAGACTAAAGAACAAGAATGCAGAAAAACTATTATTCCGGGCCCTAAACATAAACTACAGCAGGCAAGAGAAAGAAGCCTCATAATACCAGCTTGCATTCTGTAGGATGTTTCTATACTATAAAAATTAACTTTCTTAAATGAGAGAGTTCCCCTATTACAATGTTATAAACTTTCCAAACTTCTTTTGCAGACTTTTGCCCAGCCAGTTAAGTTTAACTCTGACTTTGGGGTTTTTGAAGTAGTTAATGATGCCCCACAATGCTTGGAAAGCCAGCTGAAAAAAATTCTACGTGATCAGAAACCTCCAAACTCCATTTATGATGTTCTAAGGAAAGCAAAGAATGATGGGCAGCTCTCCAAAATGCGCAGCGCTTCTCCAACCTTCAATATTGATCCAAATCACAACGCTATGGTAAGCATCTTATAGCCCCTGAGTTTATATTTAGATCTTACTGTAGAGATACTGGCAGTAGTTATTGTTGTGTTTGGCTTGGTAGCTTGGGAAAAATGTTAATTTATGTTAGGAAAACATAATGATGGGCCAAATTATGCCCTGCAATGCACATGTGTCTAGCAGACAAGTGAATGGAATTACACATGTAGATCCTGTAGCACAGAATTTTGAAGATTCTGTAGGTCAGGATTCAGTTGTGTGGTCTGAATACTTTTTAATATTAAAAGAAAAAATATTATGACAACAGTTACTTTACTAGTGATCCCTGGAATGTGCAAATTGACTGAAACTAATGCATCTCAGTCTTTCCTTATTAATTAATTTCCTTGTGTGGCTATGAGCTCATCTGTGGTCTGGCAACACATAAGTCTCTCTTCCATTAATTCCCAAAGGATTTACATGGTTAGCATCAACTGAAATGGCCAGAGAAAATAATCTTCGGCAACAAGAAAGCTAAATTAATGGAAAGATAGGTTGGATTTTAGAAAAAAATTGTTGATGCAGACTTGCTCAGACACTATCAATTTTGGTATTCTTACCTGTTTACTTTCAGGGCTTTCTTCAGCACCAAATCAGGCAGGTTAAAATTGGGAGTTGAAACACCATATGCACCTGAGAGACTACAAGACAGTATAATTAGTTGTGGGAGTTTACCTTAACAATAGCTTTGGAGGACAAAAAATATTTCACTGGAATACTTGGTTTATTCCTTTCTTGCTTACTTTGCATTGGTGTGACTGATGTGACTTCAGTTCATTTCATTCAAGGCCAGTCTAAGGTCTTACTACATTTTTAGAGGCGGCTGCTCTAAATTATGTCATAGCTGGAAAGCTGAGAGAAAATCAGGGAGTTGTAACAGTCTGCTGCTTTGCCCAGTATAAACTTAATGATTTTCAGAAAAGAAAACAGTGTTGAGAGAGGTCAAAAGGCAATGATGTTTAACAAAATGATAGTAATGTGACATCGCAATTATCTGCATCTAAACTGGACAAATGCTACAATAGGACAAGGCTCACAGGCATCCCTACCATGTTAAATAATTATTTTCACAAATACTTTGCTTGAAAGCACAGAAGCAGAAGAGCTATTCTCGATTACTTATTTGCTCTCAGGATTCAACTGAGGAAAAGTTGTGTGCTTGTGCAAGTGTGGCTAACATTGCTCTCTGGGATAACCTCACATCATTGCAACTGTGGATGGCCTTTTTTGACAAATTCAAAGCCATTTCACTATTACTTACATCTTTCATGTGGTTTGGAGCAACAGGGTTCCTGTATTATTTAAGAATACATTTCTTTCTCTGGGCCATTTTCCATAGATGGGAAGCATTATGGCCTTTTGAGGAGCAGTATGCCTCAGTACACTTTCTTGTCCTTTTTGGGGGAAAGGGTGATGTTTCTTCTTATTTTTGACTCCTCCTTTACTGGACAGGTAACCTAGATGCCTCATCCAGTTCAGCTTGGCATCTCAATGGCCTACAAAACAGCATGCCAAAAATTGTTACTGCAACTACACAAGGTGAAAGAAATCAGCTTCATTCATTGTACTACACTATGACTGAACCAGAAGAAGTCATCCCAGACCAACTGCATCAAGTAGTTCAGTTCAAATCAAATAGGGTTTGATCTTTCAGGCATCGGGTGATGCTGCCTCCTTTGCCCTGACTGCTTTCTTTACACTGACTGAAGAGATTGACAGTTGCTTTGAATATTACGCTGCTACAAAAAGTCACCTTGAGTGGCCATCACTGGCACATTACTAATGAAAATGAGCTATGATTGGAGAATCCTATTAGACCTTTCCGGCTACAGCCTGAATTTAAACACATCTTGCCTAAGAAATACACCCAGTGGTATTTTCCTCTGTATTTTACTTCCCTCTCAGATTGTTACAAATTTACAGATAAACAAAAGTTCTCTGCATGTGTGCATGCACACTTGCAAGTTATTGATATGGAGGTAAGTATCTTCTTAGCAATAGTCAAAATCAACTTGGCGTAAAATATATTAAAAAAAAACCCCCCACAGAGTTCGGTAGAATTGATCACAACTATGGGAAGAAACTGGCTGGCATCCCACATACCTTACTTCAGAGAAACCCCAGTTCAGCAAAGCACTTAAGTGTGTGTTTAACTTTAATCAAGGGAAGTTAAACACATGCTTAAACTTAAACACGTGCTAAAAGCTTTGCTGGATTGGGTCCCAGCAAGGCCTAAGGCTGACTGGGTAAGGAAGCTAACCAAGGTAACAAAACCCATCAGATTAAATGTAGCATCTTTCTCTGGGGAAGGGGAAAGAGTAGAGGTTCTTTCCTTCTAATAGTATATAAAATTTTGTGTACCAGCCATGTACAGACGTGAACTGTGAACTATGAATCACTCAGATAAAAAACTGGGCTGTGAGTCAGTAAATACATAAATATTAAATGCCAAAATAAAGAGACGATCTTCTGTATTTCAAAAAAGCTTGTCAGTTACCAAAAAGAGGCATACACTGTGTGGTTGGGAGTAATTAGTCTCCATTGCCACAAATTACATTGTATGAGCCACTGCCAACATAAGCTTTCCATATTTTGAAATATTTTCTTCTCTCTAAATGAAACCACCCACTTTCTGAGTAATTCAGATTTTTTAATCCCCTACAGATATATATGAGGCAGAAATAACCCTTGTCCCTAATGGAATATTAGCTCATGGAAAGAAAATTTAAAATGTAATCTACATGAACTGATTATTTGATATAGCAAGTAGCATCCATCCTTGCCCAAACTTAATCTGTTTTTATGGACAAGCGGAGTTACTGCATTCTTCCAAATCATCAGTCTCACCTTCACTAAAAGGAAAAATGCACCTCAGATAAATAAAACAGGTCATACCCTAAGAGTGGAAAATGTACACTTAAAAAAGTTAAAAAGTGTGCTCTGTGTCATTTCTAAGGGAAACGGCTATGGATCATTGTGGCCTATAAACAGAGAGCTTGCTCTCTGTGTAAGACTCCAGGCATAGTTTTTTGGTTAGCTGGCTCTGCGTAGCTTGCTGCTCAACACCTCCCTTCCACCCCCCAAACCAATCTTTGGAGGCACCTCCCTTTCTGCTTTGAGGAGGCACTGAGGCTTAGACCGCCTGAGGAGAAATCTGTTATGGGCCCGACTGATAATGAACGCACTTATGTTTCCACTACAAGAGTTACTGTGTGCAATGCAGTTATGCAATGCTCCAACATAAAAGCTGGAAAAGTGATAACTTATTGGCTTTTTATTTGTTTGATTTTGTTTTTAATATCCACAGCTCTCCCATTCTGGAAGTATAATTTAAGTTAAGGGTTTCTTACTCCTCAAATTCTTGAGGAAAACATGTAATAGTGGCTATTTATAAAACATGATAAAGTCAGAAAAATTAGCAGTTTCCTATTGCAGAAAATTTATGAGCATCTAATTTGCATTTGGAATTGTACAGTAAAAGCATGATTCATATACACATTATTTCTGAAGAAAAAACACCCATGATTTCTTTAAAAAGTTGTATTCTTATAGGTGAAATCAGATTTAGACCTTGTTAGCTGTTAATCGGAAAGTAAAGTAACTCAATTGTCCCAGCACGATTAAGGCTAAACTGGATAAAAAAGGTGATGTTCATTGTATATTTGTCTTCCTGAGACAATGCTTCTGTAGAAGGGGGACGGAGAGAATCAGTTACACAGCAAACAAAACAAGAAAGTCAAGAATTCTGCATATCTTTGGCATTTCTTTTTTCATAGTGTCTTGATCGAGAACAAGCAATTCAGTGGATTAAGAAAGAACGGCTTCCAGCATTTATAGAAAGCGACTGTTACTTTGAATACAGGTACTGCAATCTTTTATGCTGTCTCTCAGTTTTAAATTTGTACATTTTTCTCTTCTAATTCATCTTGACAGTACCCTTCATATGTTTTTTTCCACCTCCTGTCCTGTTTAATTTTAGCATTTTAGTGACCTGGATAAAGTAAAATCAGTGAATTTTTTCACTCATCATTCTGTAATTTTCCTTGACCATGAATTACATACTATATTACACCATTACAGAGAGAGTTAGAGTGGGTTTTGCTGATTTCTGAATCTCTGTTCCACTGAGATATCATGGTAGCAATGCATCTCTCTCTAATCAATATGGAGGCCGTATAAGTGAAAGATACGAATCCATGAAATCTATTTGGAAAAACCAGCCAGTCCTTTTTATTTCCATTATTAGTTTTGTATCTTTGGGCCTACGGTCAGACTTCCTTTTGCAAGGTTCTCTGGGGGATGCCATGGCATAGTTAGATGATTTACAGTTATACACTTGCTATACTTTTCCAGATGTTCTTTCAGCAGATGTTCAGGAGGTTTAGTGTGCTTTTTGGAAGGATCTGCCTCTGCATCCCTTAAGTTTGTGTTTAGAAGCTGATAATTGCAGTGTGTTTTAGGGGTCCTACAAGGAGAGGCAGCCTGGCATTAGGATTCACAAAACTCATGTTTGGCAATTGTCATGACAGACTAGTTACTGGGGTATGGACTTGAAAAATTTCAAAATATTTTTAACTTTCAATTCCCAAAGACTCAGGAGGTTTAGTGTGCTTTTTGGAAGGATCTGCCTCTACATCCCTTAAGTTTGTGTTTAGAAGCTGATAATTGCAGTGTGTTTTAGGGGTCCTACAAGGAGAGGCAGCCTGGCATTAGGATTCACAAAACTCATGTTTGGCAATTGTCATGACAGACTAGTTACTGGGGTATGGACTTGAAAAATTTCAAAATATTTTTAACTTTCAATATCCCAAAGACTGCACTTAAATTCAAGGGGAAAACTGTGCAAAGAATAAACAAACTGTGAAAGAGTGCTCCATTTTACCTTTAATAGCAGCCTGCTTTACATGTATCTGGGCCTCATGAAACACTAAAAATTTAATCTTCTGCTACAGCAAAGTATTTCCTTGATCAAGCAGAGTTACCCAAGAGAATTAAATAAAACTAACTTTAAACATGTGCCTAATTTCCATTGATATCAGTATTTTAAGTTGCTTTCCTGAATCAGGATCCAGATAGGCTGAGATGCTAAAGGGGAAACTTGCATTTAAAGATGAAGACACCCCAACCCTAGAATGAAATAGTGGGGACAAATGAAACTGGGCATTCAGCTCACGGTCATAGGCTCAGGCATAGGCTTCTTCTTCCCTTCACATGCACCTTGGTTGGTTTTGTACTGCTTTCTAGCTTAACTGAGTAAGTTCTGCCACAGTTCTTGAGCCCAGAGCATCCTCATTATTGCCATGTACTTCTAGGATTGCCTTTCCTGAACATTGGAAGGTTCACACTAACACAAGGTAGCACTGGAGTGCTGTTCAGTACTATGAAGTCCTCATATAGCAGCCAGCTGAACATGGTAACACCAGCTGCCCTGTTATCATCTGAAAGTTCAATTAGTATGATCACTGCTGTGGCATTGCTGCTGGAAGGTTGCTTGTATCAGGACCAGGAAATGCAGTGTCTGGTAATGACACAGGGCTTCTGCAATCTGGGAGAATAGTTCCATTTTAGCAATCAAAATATTCAAGGGCTTCTTGGCAGGGCTTGGGACTGCATTGATACATGCAAGATTATCCTGATAGAAATCAATTTTACTGGTAAAGCTTGATAATGCAAAGCAGGCCACCAAGCTGTGAAGCTGGTAGGCTATGGAATGGTAGTACTAGCGTTTATATATGTGACAGCAGGTGAGGGGTGAAATAACAAAGCAGATCATGAAGCTCCTTGTAGCAATTTATTTTTAGAGTGATCATGGTTTTTATTGCCTATTCTAGGGAAAAATCAACTGCTCTCTGACTAAAAGCTAAAGTTAACTATTTTCTTGTCACAACATTTAATTTCAGGCTAGCTAAATTGATATCACAGGTAGAATGGAGCAAGACTGGCATTAATTTCATTATAGATAGTGACTACTATCCCTGGATAAGGAAGCAAGACCCAAGTTCTCCCCCTCCTGAGGAGGATGACACTTCATTGACTATGAAGAAGTTCTGCATATCACTTGGCCAGGTAAAATAAGCATGTTTAGTGGGTGTAAAATCAAGCTAGATTGAATGCATTGGGTTAAATTATCGTAACCGAGGTCACAACCTAGTTGGACAACTGGTTCTCTGAATGTCCCTTATTTTCAAAGCTTTTCGTATTATAGAAGGTTGATGGGTTGTAATACAGCTTAAACAGAAGCTGTGTTACAAGTATGCTCTGCTACTGTCATACAGCTCTCTTCATTTGGAACTATTGTTACAGAAATCTACACAAACAGACTGCATAAAATGACTACAGACAGTAAGCCCTCTGCTCTCAGAAACAGTGCAATAAATAGGGAAATTTGAATTATTCTGACATTTGTTTTCCTAGGCTACAGTTTCTCAGACAAAGGATTGGTTTACATTAGCAAAACGAAGTGAATCCGTGAAAACTACAGATTCATTTATGCATCCTGTAGCTTCTAGTCAAATTCAAGATATTCAGTGTTTGCCTGGGCAGCATGAAAGAGACGATTCATTAAGCGAAAAAGATAGCCTTCTGGGTAAGTAACAGGGGCTCAGCCTTAGTATTTATAACACAGCTCTGACTAGGTGGAAAGAAAAGGCATTCCAAGGAATTGCTGCTAACTCCACTTATTACCTTCTGAGTATCACATGGTATCTTAGGCCTCAGACAGGGATTTCTTTCTTTCCATAGCCACAACATTAAATGAAAATTTGAGCCAGTAGCCAAGTAATTTTGTGATAGTAGAAGCCTCTTTTCTTACATATTTCTGTCTCATAGATGTCTGTAAGTTTCAGCTGAGGGTTTTTTTTCCCATTTGATATGTTTTGAAAGACTTTCTTGTCTGGATTCTTTGAGTATTTGATAATGTATGATTTGTGTTGCAGCCATCTTCTTAGGTTATTTATGTTGGGCACCTAAAGGCCTTTTGCGTGCCAATTTTTACGAATCTTATAGAACGTAATTGTTTGTGACACTCCTGTCTATCTGTCAAATTTAACTGAAATTGTCCAGCAGGTTTCAAAAGTACTGGGAGAGAACATACAGATGCACATATGGACATACCTGATTGTGTAGCTTTGCTTCTGCTCTGTAGGCAGCAGCAAGATGAACAGAGAAATCTCAGCTCATATGTTAGGGGTTCTCTCTCCCCCATTCTCAGAGGAAAAAGCAGCCATTCCACTTTGAGACTTGTACTGCTGGACCTTGGAGTCCGATGGCTGAATGGAAAACTGGAAGACGTGATAACTCCAGAAGTCTGTCTTCTTCCCCAAACCCATGAGGATCACCCCAGGAAATACCTTGCTGATGCATGGATTATTAATGAAGTTATTCAAGTCGCACTTGTTTGCAGCTCATGACTCTAATTTTTGCAGTGCTTTGAGCAGAGAGTTCACAAGTGCACCATTCTTGCAGAGCATCGTAATGTCGTGTAGCTCTGTATCACAGTGGGCTGGCCATAGGCCTATGGAAAGCCTCTGTGTCTCTTCTTTTGCTGCAGTTGTCCTGCAGTCAACAGCATTTTTTCTCAATGAATATTTTACATTTTCTCACTGAAAACTTTATTTTATAACATAGACCTTCATTTTACATGTGCTTATTACTCTTCTTTATGCTTATTTCGTGGGAAATTCAGCATTCTTTCAGTCAGAAAACTTTCTTTAGGCACAGTATTCACCTGGTGTAGGGGTCAGGCACTGGAAGCAATAAAGGGCATCAGCTAAGTTTCTCAGAGCCAGCCTGCAATTAGAAAGAGTTCAATAGCTGAAGGTATTTACTTGGACAATCCAGTTTGAATTCCTTGCTCACTGCTTCAGTTGGATCAGGGTTATCAATTAATGTCTTGAGCAAAACCCTGAGCCACTTGGCTTTTGATTACTCAAGAGATGTGTATCTCTCTCCCTAATTCCTTCAGGTCCTGTGAAATCATTCTTCATGTTTCAATTTCACAGAACTGTGTTGAGAAGCTGTAATTTTTCTTTTTCAAGTGAAGACATTTGAAATAGTTTAGAAATAAGAAAAGCTATTTTAAATCACGCTGATTTTTATATTAATGTCAACATATTGTGCCGTATGTACTTACACATGAAATTATGTAAGTGCAGAGCAGGGAACCTCTATGCCATGTTCCTAACCCAAGTGTCTGTCTGTGACAGTGGCCCGGCCAGCACTGGTTAGACACAGCTTATTTTCGGAGGAAGATGGAACGAATGTCTAACTGCCATTGCCATTTATTGACTAGGCCACCATAGGGGGTTACACAGGCTGGTAACATTACAAATGTGAATTCAGTGGATCTGAGAGATTTAGCCCTTTTCTATCACTGTCTGATGTAGTGTATGTGCTCAGAGATTACAGCACTCTCCTCACTGACAACATTTTTGCCTTAGTGATACAATTGTGTATGAAAGCCTACATCTTAGCTTTAGGGAAATACAGAAGATTCAGTTTATTCTATAATTTAAACACTGGATTGATATCAAGATATTGTAGACCCACAACTGATTTAGCCCTTTTCTATCACTGTCTGATGTAGTGTATGTGCTCAGAGATTACAGCACTCTCCTCACTGACAACATTTTTGCCTTAGTGATACAATTGTGTATGAAAGCCTACATCTTAGCTTTAGGGAAATACAGAAGATTCAGTTTATTCTATAATTTAAACACTGGATTGATATCAAGATATTGTAGACCCACAACTGAATTATGACTTTTTTTTTTTTTTTTTTCTTTAACATTTATAT